TGCCTGCCCCAGGCCCTGATTGGTCTACTCCCATGCAAACAAGGACTCCAAATCCTCACAAAAGTGCTCCCCAAAAAGCAATGCCCTAATTGGTCAGTGAAGATTCAAATGAGGATGTAGCTGTGCAGTCCCAACTGGCTGGGGCAGGTTTTCAGTTCAGTGACTGATTCTTTGTAAGGGTCCACTCAAATGTCAGTGCCAGAAGACAGGCAGCACAGTGCAGTTTTCCCCTGAGGTGCCGAGAACATGCAGTCCCCTGCTTAGCAATAACTAAGAGACTCTGTTTATAAATTTGAGCCAAATAGCCACCAGGAATCCTCAACAGCCTTCCGGGAGGAGGGCACAGGGCGCTGTTTCACTCTGGAAAGGTCCCCTGGGGAAGAGTTTCCTGGAACATCCACCATGATTCCTCCTCAGCATCTAGTTGTGTTCCTGTCAAGTCAGACGAGCAGCCACCGCCAGGGTAGGACACAGGAAGAAACCCGGTCCTTTGCATGTGCAAGTTGTCTTTCTGCCTCAGGGAAAAGCTGGAGAATACTGCCCTATGCCTCCCACATGAGCCCACGTCAGCCCTGGGCCCAGGTTGGGATGGGGGTTTGGAGTCTCTGCAGCCACCCTCCTCCAGCTCCCTGCCCCACGCTCTTGCCGTTGCCGCCAGCCTCTCCGTGCCAGCCTCTCCGTGCCAGCTGGAATCCCTCCTGCCCAGCAGCTACCTCCATGTGCTACCTCCACACGGGCACCTCTATGTGGAAAAAACACCAGGTGCCACCGCTCTCCAGAGCAGCAGAATTTAGGGTTTATTTGGACTCCTGATGTGGTCAAAATAAGACAGAGCAGAGGCAGCTTTCTCTTAACCAAGCACAGTGATAAAAATCTGCAGAACCACCAACTACTCATCCTCAGCCAGTTGTTCCTGATTTAAAGTCACACCACTCTGCCCTGGCCGTGGGAACACTCAGATGTCCCTGAGCAGTTCCTTGCAGTTCCTTGGCTTTTTGCTTCTCGTGAGGCGATACCCACAGAGGTTCCTTTTTCAGGCAGATGGACCCTGCACGGCTGCTCACCTCGGGCATGCTCCTCGAATAAGACTGAAGTCACAGGCTGACATACCTAACAAGTCAAAAAACGACTTTGGAGAAGACATTTAACTACCAAACGCTGCCCCCCTGGAACATCCTTCTCTAAGAGTCGCAGGTCATGTTTCCCTCTTTTGTTTAGCCCACTTCATTCTTTCTCCTTCAATCCACAGCCACAACTCTGGCCATGCCACCGTCTTACTTTCAAACCTTCCCAGGTTTTAAATTGCAGGTGCTTCTATTTGCATGGGATTCAGGGCCCCCCGTGACATGACTCATCTCACTTCCCAGGCCTTCCTCCTGGTTCATGCCTGCAGCCTCTACTCAGGCTGCTTCTGTGCCTGACTGCCCTTCATGCTGTCCCCACTGCCCTCCAGGGGCAAACACCTCCTCCAGATCGGCGGTTTTATCCAAGCATGACTTTTTCTACCTTTCCCCATGCTGCCTCACTCCTCTTTAAAATCAACCACTTCCCTCTTTGTGCCCCAGCGTGCTTCATATACTGCTACTCACTTTATCATCATGGCTCACTTTACTACACTTCAACATTGTACCGTCCATTGTCGGGGCTAAGACCATGTCTTATTCAAAATTATCTGTGCCTGGCCCTCTGGACCCTTTTCACATCAAAGAGCATATCGAAATGATAATGATAATATTTATGTGGTTAAGAGGCTGCAGTTTAAAAGATTAATATCTTGGCACCCTCTAATAACCCATTTAAAGCTTAAACACACCAGTTGAAAAGTTCTGCATACAAGACCTACAGTTAATGTTTATTGAAAGAATGAGTCAATTGGTTTGTTTATAGGATTAAGAGATATATGGAATTAGGCAAATAAAGATCTTATAAATAAATGAAAGGAATGGTCATATAAAAGAGACATAATTAAGACTGAATTCGGCCCAGCTGGCGTGGCTCAGTGGTTGAGTGTCGATCTATGAACCAGGAGATCATGATTCAATTTTGGTCACTGCACATGCCTGGTTTGTGGGCTTGGTCTCCCGTGGAGGGCGTGCAGGAAGCAGCCAATCAATTATTCTCTCTCATCATTGATGTTTCTATTTATCCTTCCCTCTCCCTTCCTCTCTGAAATCAATAAAAAAATATATTTTTTAAATTAAAGATTAAATATGATCCCAGCAGTAGGGAAGATATTTTATCTGTTCCTCTCCTGGAAATATCTAATTTCCCATCAAGATAAGCTTCTCATTCATTCAATTTAATTTTAGAGCCAGCTTTTTCAAATTGAGCATACAGAATAATCAATTTGGAGGTGTCAAAAGTTCCCTACTTTGCCCATTTCATGTGCCCTTATTTCCCCCCTGATAGCATGTTTAGTTAAATTTTCCATTTCTATAGGTACTTGCAAGTTGAAATTTCATACAAACTGTACATGTATTCTGTGGGAGTATTAACGAGGGGCTGGGATTCTTGGCGTTTCAACCTTAGAGGTACAGTTTTCCATTTTATTTTAAATCGTTTTTTGGATATCTGAAAATTCTGAGCAAGTTTTCTAGGGATGTTATGTAGTGGGTCAAACTGTTCTGCTTATTGGGTTGAGCTCCACAAGGCTTTCACCCCTCCAGTTATATTCAATCCTCTTACATGCCTCAGTTTCTCTCCCAGCTGTCCAAAACAATTGGAAGGGCACTGGGAGCTGTCAACCTGATGTTATGGGTACTCCCCTGGATGAGCCTGTTAGTTTAATTACAGTTGAGTTGGAAATTCCCAGTGGGGGCTCCTGCAGAATGACCTCTGACACCCCACAAAGGTTCTTAGTAACCTAAGAACACCTGAGATTTGTGCTGGAGGGAGGATGTGCCCCTTTATCTTTAGAGCTGAATGAGTTCAGCTCTCATTTATAAAGCAAAGGGTTTTTGCTCAGACTCTCAGAAAGAAATTCCAATTGAAAAGCCCAATCAAAACCTGCCACAGGTTTCAACTCCTATCCTTTAGTGCCCCCTCTAGGAATTTCTAAGAGCAGCTCAAATGAAGTCAAACCCTCTACCAAAAGCACCGGAAGTTCCTGGATCCAAGAGAGAACTCACCCGAGCTCACCCGATGCAGCTGGGAGCCGGCAAGGCTCAACGGGCCCTTTCTGGATCCAAGCACGGGGTCTGGGTCTGCAGAATGGTCTTGGGTGAGCTCCTTTGGAATCCTGCCAACTATACCAAGTAATAACGTAAGAAAGATTCATAACTGTGAAGAATTTTGTGAGTTTATTCTAGCCAAACTGTCAACAAATGCCAGGAAGCAGACTCAACGGATTTAGATAATGCTCCAAAGAATGGCAGTTTTTGCACTTTCTACAAAATTACAATAAAAGGAGGTATTAAGTAGGTTACATGAAATCCATTGGTGATAGATTAGGGAGGCAGGAGAAAGCAAAGTGGGAAACCTCTGGGATTGGATTACCAGGTAAAAGTAAAATGATGGACACCCACCCCTTTTACTTAAGTAGGTGCAGGACAGTTAACAGTCAACAATTAACTCAGTAACAATGAGGGGATTTGTGGTCTCCACAGAGCAGTGCCTGTGCTTTGAGAGGTTCAGGAAAAGGGAAATTATGTTTACATTCCAAAGGTGTGTTATTGTAGATGCAAAAAGACAACAAGCTCAGTCAGGGTAAAGATTGACCTAGAACATGACTACCCACTGTAAACTGCCTTTAGTTTTTTTTTGTTTGTTTGTTTTGTGTGTGTGTGTGTGTTTTTTAAGTTTAATTTCAGACCACCCTTTGTGGTTATTTTAGGCCTCTGAGTTCGTAAGGCTGCCATGGAGGCCTCCCCTGAGCTTGTCAGGTTTAGTTTGCGGCCCCTTTTCATCGAAAGTGTATTACATTGAACTAAATTTCCCAAGTGGTTGTGGAAAACAGGGATCCTGCTGAACAGGAGGCAGGGTTGTTTGATGTCTAGTGAGGGGCTAGTATGTTAGCCTACTGGGTGCCAGGAAACATCCCTTTTAGTAAACTGCAGTCAGAACCCTTTTCTTATATCAGGGATTCATCAATCAGATCCTATACTAAATAGAACCAGATCCACTATCCCTAAGTCTACTATTAAATTGAACCTTTGCACTGTAAGGTTGCCCTGTAGGCTTGGGCTTTGAGCCAGGCCAGAGGAAGAATCTGGGAGAAGCAGACCCAGGTGGAATGGAGGTCCCCACATTTGTGCAACAGAATGTTCCTGCTGAGCTGCAGGGAGGGTGGAGAATAGGAGGACTGGGCTGAGGCCTTAAGGGCGCAACTGCTTGTCTACACCCTACGGGGCATCCCAGGGATTAGTCAGTATTCACAGCTCCCTTCCCTGTGCAGTCTCTGAAAGGCAAAATATACAGTCATTCCTAAAAGCAGGTAAATAAATGCTAATCTCCTGATAGCCCCTTACTCACCGAAGGTTTACTACCCTGACATGGCCAGCCCTAGGATGTGTCTGTCCTGTGATCACAGGGGAACTGGAGTCAAATCCCATGTCCATCTGATCTGAGATTGCCGGTGCTTATCCCATCCTGGATGCTTCCACCCTCTCAACAGTAACACTTCGACCCTCTCAACAGTAACACTTCCACCCTCTCAACAGTAACACTAACACAGCGCTGTGGTCAGAGGGAAGGAACCTTCAACCATCCTTGGTGCATTTAATGGTAATTCTTATCTCCTATCAGCCAGGCCCTCGTTTTGTAGCGAATCTGTTGAGCCCCTTCATGTGTACTTGTGACAAGGGGCTGTGTCTCCTTTTAGGTCCTGATTGGTTCCACCCCAAGCCCTGCTATCTCTGTCTCTGCTTTAGAGTTTGGAGAATGAAATGGATTGCTACGACATCACTAGAAGTTTCCAGTTGTGAGGAAGTGTGTTTCAGGATGTATTTAACAATGAATCCGCTTCCCAGGTGACTAGTGGGTATGCCCTCTCGCCCCTGCAGGCACAAAGGGTACACAGGAAGCTTCCTAAACCCAGCGGAGCTCACCACTCCTCGGAGCAGAAGCCGCACTCCACGTCTTCCCCGAGCCACACCGCACCGAGCCGTACTCCTGGCAGCGGCCGGCAGCCCCGACTGGACAGTCCATGCCTGGGGCCCAGCCAGGCGATCCTGCTAGCTGGGCACCAGCAGGAATTTGCCACACGAGCCAGCAGCCATCCCCGCCTTCCCTGGTCTTTCCCGAGAAGCAGGTCCTTGTTTTGTTTGCCCACAGAAGACCCCGGCCCAGCCTCCTCGGCTGCACCGCAGTGCTTTTCAAACACAGGTGCCCCGGGGCACCAGCCATCGGAGCGGAGACACGGCCACCTCCTCTCCATTGATGACCTAGAGGGGTCCCAGGAGACAGATGTGGACACAGGCCTGCGGCTGTCCTCCTCGGACCTGTCTGTGGTCTCTGCGTATTCTGCGCCCAGTAGATTCTTTAGCGCCTTGGAGGCACCCTTCCCCTCCGAAAGATGGGGCAGCCACCGCTCCAAGCACAAAGGTTCCAGAGAAGGACCACTGCCCACTGGGAGCGCGGTGACCACGGAGACCTCCTGGGCTTCCCTCCCTCTCTTCACGGAAGGGCCTTCCTGCTCCTTGGCCACAGCGGTTGCTGTTCCCCCGGCTTCTGGTGCCACCACCCTCCCAGAGCCATCCTCCACGCTCCCTGGCGATGCTCCCTGCGCCCAGCAAACTGGCAGACGCGTCACTCCATCCCCGGCACTGGCTGGGCCCGGGGACAGTGACACAGAGGAATTCTATATCTGAACACCCTCCACTCTGTTTTCTCAGAAACACACGCTAAGCTTCCCAGGTCTGTCTGGAACCTAGTTATCTGTCCCCACCCCCGTTCACCATGCCACCCATTCTAGGGACTAGGTGGGAAAGTACTCGCATTTTTATGCCAATAACTGAAGTCGTAAAATATATTTTTTTAATTACTCAGTTCCATTTGAGATATGGTTTAATGCATTTACACACATTAAATGCTTCATACAATTATAGTAGTTCCTCGAGTTATGTCGGAGATCCATTCCTATGGCACGAGGTAACGAGATTTTCGCCATAAGTCAGAACTCACCTACGTAAGGATCTACGTCACTCACATGGAGCACATACACAGCAGTAATGAAGTGAAACAGTAAAAGAAAAAAGAAAAAGAAAAAAAATTAAAAGAAAGATAACAATTTCTGACCTTTACTTGTGGTAAATAAGTAATAAATAAATAAAGCACATTATGTACATATGTTGAAATGATGGAACTTTTTAAAAATAAATAAATGAGAGATGGTGTAACCATGAAAGGATGTACATTGAGTCCGGCGTATCCCGAGGACTGCCTGTACTTGAAATGAAAAGAAAACCTAGTCAGCCAGAGCTGGTTTAGCCATTTTTCTCACTGTGAAGAACGAACAATTAAAACCAAAGTGTTGACTATAGGGAAGATATTAAGTGACTTGTGTGAGAAATTAGTGCACTACAACAATGTGCAACCCAGGATTTCCCAGGTAGATTTATTACCAGGGAGCAGTGACCCTAATAATCTCCAAGTAATGCTTAGAATGAAAAAGTCAGCTTGATAAGACAGCTGCAAACAACAATCAGACTACAGCCATATCACACTTAAATGTCTTGCAACGTCCAAAAATCTGGATTTACACTAAAGTGGCTAATATGCTTTATAAGGATTTAGCATGAGTTGCAGACTGTTGGTGCATTTAAAATCTGATTTCAGTTCCAAAATCTAGATTTGTATTCACCTTTCGACAATACTAATACATTTACTGTAACAGTGAGGACTAGAAGGCCACTCCCCCACCTGGATTTATTTGGATCGCTGAGGATGAATCGTTCATCGGAATTACAGAATAATAAGATGTTCACTGGGCAGGTAGTCTTAGGATTTTTAAAACCTACAGTCTAAGGGCTATCAATGTATATATCTATATAAATGGCAGGACCCACATTGTATACCACTTTCTCTAGCACATATGCATTGTCACCTTGTCTTTTTCATTTTTAAAAAATTGTAACATTTTAACCAGCATTCCGGTTGCACACTAGGAAGCTTTATGGCAGTGCTGGTCTTGCAAGAGTGCCAGGCATCATAATTGAAGCTGGAGCTTTCCCCTGACTTTGGCCTTCCGGACTGTTGTCTGCTTCTGTCACCGTGTGAATGGAATTTAAATCTCACCTCTCTCCCACTCCGATAAGGACACCTTTACAGTTTCAACCTCAGCAATGCCAAGTGCAGACATCGGGCAATGCTGAGCTGTCGCTGGTTGCTGTTTACCTTTGGGGAAGAAGAGCATGTATTTTTCTTGTTTATTTCTCAGTCTGGTGCTCCTTGCCTACATTAGCACAGCCCATTTCCAACTTTCTGGAAGCGTCCACACCAGTCCAGACCCAGCCTTGGGATCCTTCTCCACACAGCCTTCCAGGCAGCTGTAGCCGGTCATCAGACCTGCACTGAAGCCGCAATCTTTGCCTTAGATCTTCTCTCAAACATCCTAGTCTCCCAGGACTCCCAGGACTCTGCTCCAGCCTAAGTAAATAAAAATATGGTCTCTTATAATTCTAGACCAGGAGTGACACCAAAGTTTTTCTGGAAAGGGCTAGGTAATAAATACAGTAAGCTTTGCTAGCCAAATGCTCTCTATTATATCTACTCAACTCTGCCACGATAGCATGAAAGCAGCCATGGGCAATATGTAAATGAGTGGGAGGGGCTGAATTCCAAGAAAACTATTTCCAAGAACAGGTGGAGGGTCAGATTTGGCTCAAAAGTTATAGCTTGCCAATCCTTGTGCTAGACTGAGGTTGATTTAAGACCCCAGCCACAGTCAACAGCAGGCTTCTGCTGCTGTGGTGCGTGAGGCCAAGAAAGCGGGCTCAGGCCACGCAGATGGCTGCAGAACCACAGGGCACCGAGTGGTGAGGGGCTTCTTTCTGCAGAGATGATTCCTGGACAGCCACTAGCTGTCCAGCTCCTGCCCAGAAATAGATGTGACTCACAATCAGTAGCTGATGATAAAGAGCAGCAGGCTAACCTTAGGGAGGAGGAGAGAAATAACGTACAGGCGTTGACTCAGCCTACAAGGAACAGTGGGCCAGCTCAGGAGCAGCAAAAGTCAGCAAGGCCAACTGCCCAGTGCTGGCTCCTCCTGAATGGGTGCCCTTAGTTTAGTGTACTTGCATGCATCCCTAGAATTGCCCGAGAGCCCAACTCTGATGCTCTCCGGTCCCACCCTTCTTCAGTGGCCCACCCTCACACAGTCCCTTCAACCAAACTGACCCCAAGGGATCACTGTTAGCAGCGCTGTTCAAGAGCAGAAAATGCAAGGTGCCCCCATAACAGACAGCTGGAGGGGGAAGCCCACCACAGACCACATTCAGGCCCTCCCCCACTCCCCTCCAGTGCTGTGGTCAGAAACGGCAGTCACCGTGTGGAGAAGGCGACACAGACACCCTACTGACAGAGCCCTAGCTTCCATTTCTGGTCATACACTAACCTTTCCTCACCGGGGTCGTTCCTGACACCCACTGGTGGATCCGACTCTTGGATTATTATTGTTGTGATAGACACTGGCATATTGTAGGTGCTCAATAAATTTGTTCAATTTAATAACATTGAGGTTGCCTCATAAATTATTTCTCTTCTGAATTAAGTTCTTTGACACAGGAGATCTAGACCCGATTCCCAATTTTTGGTATTGAATGGAACCCAGTTGCTTCTTGTTGGCCTTGCACTTTCCCCAGCTTGCCCCGGTGGGCAGTTCACAGCCCATCCCTTATTTGCCACTTTTCCTAATAAGATTCCCCAAAATTACTGTTCACAGTCCCACTATGGCCTATCCTAATCACCACCTAGTACCTGCATTAAAGGTCAAACGTCTCTCAGGGCAGTCCCTGACTGACCTGTTGAGCCCTACAGAACTCATGGTGATTCCAGTTGGGTCACCATGCAGGTGGGTGGGGAGCCACCAAAGAGGCTTGTGTGCTGGTGGGCAGGCTGATGTGTGGCTGCACTAGATGGACTGCAGTGTTGGATGCTTCTTGAGCTGAGGGATCCAACAGCAAAGGGACGATCACATGGGAGTCTATGGGCTATCCAGTGCATTCCAGGTGAGAACACACGTTTACTCAGGAAGACATCTGAGTGCACAGCTGATGTCTTCAGCTCCGAGGAAATCGGAAGAAATGTAGGTATCTTCTTATCCCCCCACCAGGCTTTCTGTAGACGAACGAATTCTCCAATCCATCAGGAAGAGGTGCCTGAGTAGACTCAGAATTCCTGGAAGAGGCTCTTAAAGGCAAATTAATTGGAGAGTGTGTCCCGCCCAAACAGAGCAGTATCAGTGACCAGTTCTGGCCAGTGACCCCATGTCTGAATTTCAGGAGAGTAGTGGTAATGGCTGAACAGTCACTTTCCATCTCTCTGCCCAAGCCACATTGCTCCCTGAGCCTGATGTGGACACAAATGCCTCCTTCTGACTAGTAGGGTTCCACTGCTCTTCAATCCTCTGGAAATACAATTGACGAGGTACTGCAGAGGCTTGAGAAAAATAACAAGAGAAACCAACAGGAGTAAACATGGATTCTCAAAGAAAATACCTTTTGTCACAATTATAACAAGTCAATTCATGAGGGGTCAAGAACCAGAGTTTAAAGATTTTCCTATAATTACATTCTTCCAACTTCTTCTGAAGGCTTTTATCTCATCTTGGGCACAGAGGCCTAAATACAAATGGCTTTAAATGAATAATTTATTGGAGTGAATGACGGAGGCAAAAATGGATGGTAAAGTCAGCACAGCTGGGTCTTTTTATCAGTCAGTTTCTTTTTTAAAGGGGTGCTAACTATTATCCAGTTATGCAGCCACTATTACGAACAATACATTCATTTCAGACAGAAGTCACCAGAACATTTGATGAAGCTGAAAGGCCTTCCCCTATGACACCCTCCCTAAATTCTCTGTTCGTGATGAGGTCCCACTTTCAGTTGCCTCAAATGGTGAAGAAAAAACAGCTGCTTCGAAAAGTGGCATGGCCCCCACCGGCCGGATCTGGTTGGGAGTCGCCTTGCCCCATTTGAAGCATTGATCTGATAAGCTGACCGTCTGAAAGAAGCCAGCTAGACTTAGGTCAGCTCTGCTCAGTCCCCAGTGCATTTTGGTCAGGAGCCACTGGGAATGCATGTGGCACACAGCTCAAGAAACATAGAAACACTTTCATGCCAAAGGAAAGCTTTGGTGCCACCTGGTGGCCACCCTGCCCAGGAGGGTCAGCACCTGCCTCCCTTTTCATAGAAGACTCCACCTGGGTGAACAGGAGGGAGGCACTTGTGTTCATTATTCTGCATCGAGCTGTTTCTACAAGGCATTAAGGCAATTGATACTGCAATGACGTAAGACGATAGAAATAGAAAATCAGAGCTAAGAAAAATGTTCATAAATAAGCCAGCCATAAAGAAAAATGTAACTGCTGTGGATGAATTTCCTAGAAGCCAAAGCAAAAGGGAAAACACGAGTAGCTCAGCAGTTCACACTTGTGATTGGAGAATCTAGCAGCATCTTACTTCATTGTAACTGAAGTTGCCTCAATGCTCTTTCTCAATGGAAAACAAGTTTTTCTTAGCGCAGAATTCTAAAATCACTTTCTGAGAAGGGGATTTTCCTAAAGGATTTTCTCTTAATAGAGTCCAAGCTGGTAGCTTTCTAGATTGGAGAGTGAACTTAAAAGACCTGGAGGAGTGGACACAGCTGTGCA